CGCGGGAGCAATACCGAGGTTTGCAATCCCGTTGCCGGTCCCTGGTCCGGTACGGGGGCAACACTGAGGGTTGCAATCCGTTGCCGGACACGGAAAAAAAAAAAAAAAAAAAAAAAAAAAAAATCTAGTGTTGTTTTGACAGCTTTTGAGTATCTGATTACAAACAGCTGAGAGGCAGCACTTAGTTCACGAATCCACGATTCATTACATCATCATCTGTTTGGTCCACCAGAGAAAGAAACCTGAGGAGTCCAGTATTTACTGATCAGTCACACACCTCATAAGCTCTTTGATTAAGATATCCTTAGCTTTTGTCTGAAAGAATGTGTTCAGCTGTCCTATACTTTTAAGTTAAGTTAATCTTCCTATTATAAAAATGAAGTCATATGAAGCTAATTTTAAAAAAACTGACCTAGTCAGAAGCTAATAAAACCTTCAACCACAGAAAAATCTGGAAGTTAAAAATTTTTAAATTCAAATGGCCTGACATACATTTTTTAGGCTCTTAGATATTTGTACCTTTTTTACTTTTTCTACTTTTAGACTATTTGGGCTATTGAAAAAATTTTTAGTCTTATAAGAAGATGATATATGCCCTCTGGATGCAAATATGTATCACTCAGGGGTCTTTTCAAAAAACCTCTTTTAGAGCCCGTTGTTTTCTCTGAATTAAAATGCCTACTGTAGAAGAAGGCTTTTATGTTACCTATCAAGACTGCCAAAGGACATGGATTGTTACTGACACTTATCATCCACACACTAGTCTTTAACCTGTCTGGGAATGCCCACAGGGAAAGATGGCTGGTAACTTGTGCTTTACCTCTGAGGCACTGTCAAGTGGTTTAGGGTTTACTTTGATCAGGTCATAAAACTTGTTATTGCAGGATTTGAGGAATAGGGAGAGATGTCTTTTCACAAAAGTATTTGCATAGAAAAGAAAAACATGTGTTGAATGTGTTGTGTTTTATAGTTAATACTACTGGTAGCTTTAATAGATATTAAGAAATAAAAGAGTTCTATTTTCTGTATTAGTGATTCTCAAGTTTTTTTGAACTCAGGACTGCTTTACACTCACAAAAATTATTGAGAACCCCAATGTGCTTTTGTTTATGTGGGTTATATGTACTGATAGTTACGATATTAAATATTAAAACTGAGAATTTAATATTTAGTTATTCATTTAAAATCACCATAATAAACCCATAACATATTTTATGAAAAAAAAATGTTTACAAAATAAAAAATTTAGTGAAAACAATGACATTATTTTGCATGTTTGCAAATCTCCTTAATGTCTTACTTAATAGAAGGCAGATGGATTCTCATCTGTGTCTTGCATTTAATCAACTTGCAATATGTTGTTTTGGTTGAAACATATGAAGAAAATCTGAACTCACACAGATTTGTATAGTTGGAAAAGGGAAGAGTACTTTAATAGTCTTGTATTGGTCTGTTTATGTTGCTTATAACAAAATACCTGAAACTGGGTAACTTATAAAGAACAGAGGTTTATTTGGCTTACGGTTCTGGTACAGCTACCTCTGGCATGGGCCTCAGGCTGCTTCTACTCGTGGCGGAAAGTGCAGGCAGTTGGCAGGTACAAGCAGGTCACATGGCGAGAGGAAGCAAGAGAGAGAGGGGAGGTGCCAGCATCCTTTAAACGACAGCTCTTGCAGGAACTAATAGAGCAAGATTTCACTCAGGCCCCTTCCTCCAGGGAGAACATTAATCCAGCTCCTAATACTGCTACAGTGGGGATCGGATTTCCACACGAGTTTTGGTGGGGACAACACATCCAAACTCTATCAAGTCTTTTCTGATAATTGTGACTATTCTTTGGTACCGCAATAAAACTTAACAAGTGGTGGTTTCTTAACGGTTAGTTGCAATGTGGACTCCCAAGCCATTTCAATGAATTTTTCATTCTCTGTTATGCTAAAGTCCATTGGTCTGTCTTGCATTATTAATGGATCCTTTACCCATGTGTGATATTGTAATATATCACATTGGTTATTTGAAAAATGTTAGTTTCCTGAGACTTACAGTTCTTCCAAATGTTGACACATTTCATTCTACAATGTCACATTCATCTTTGTTATTATAGCCACTGAGGTCATTTTAAAAGTTTTTATGTATTGGGAAGCTCTCAAGCTTATAAGAGTGGATACAAGTTTTTCTAAATACTAATTTTAATTTCAAAGTTTAAATTTTGTCTTTGGCCACAAATACTGTCTGTTGTTTTCCTTGAAGTGATAGGCTCACTTCATTCATTTTCAAGAAAATGTCTGCCAGGTATCCAAGTCTAAATAACCAAAGTTTGTCTGTCGGGCCTTCTTTCAAGTAAAAATGGTGTTTCGTGAACAAGATAACTAATTCAGCTTACAACTCGAACAATAGCCCAGAGGCTTTTCCTCCAGACATCCATTGTGCATGGTGTTTTATGGGTATTTCCCATTTCATCTCATGGAATATTAAAATGATATGTACTCAGGTTTGGGATTTAATAAAATTAATAACTTTTACTGCTTTACCAAGGACATTCTGAAATGAAACTGGCTTATTTCCTGCTAATGCATGAGGCTAATGCATAACTACCAGCACAGCTTGGAGCTACCACCTTGATTGCTGCTAAGGCACCAGCAGCGTTACCCACCACTGCTTTTGTAACATCAGTGCAAATGTTAACACGGTAGCTGCAGGCTAACCTTGAGATTCCAGAAATTTTTCAGTAGTTTGAGTGTTTCAGCACCTCTCATATTTTGTTGCCAAAAATACCCATAAAAGATCTTTGATGATTTATTTTGCCGATAACAGACAAATTCAAGCAATGTCAACTGTGCAACTGTCTTTCAGCTAATCTGCGTGCCTCTCCAGCCAGTGCAGCATAACTAACCCCGTAAGATGTTTCAGTGGCTTTTTCATTGCTGGTTTGAAAAGATGTAATAAACAATGTTTGGCTTTTAAAAAGCTTGTCATGTCTAAGTTTAAAATATTCAGTTCATTTTTCTTTATACTGTGAATGATTGGTCTCAGAGTGATGCCACCACTTAACTGGTACCATAAATATTATTTTAAAATGTTTCATTGCATGAGACGCAATAAAGTAAATTATTAACACCTATAAAGCTGAGGGAAAGATGGCTTTCATCCTAATTTCATTTCTTATTCACAATTTTTCTCAGTTTCTTTGGGGTAGATTTTTCCCTTCCCTTAGTCAAAAAACTCCGATATATCAGTTTCATTTATTCAACACTCTTAGAGGTAGACAGTGCAGTTGTAGGTTGAGAATGTCTTCTAATCCCATTTTAACAATTCATCCTTGAATTAGTAAAAAGTATATTATAAATACATTTTCTTTTAGAATGAGATAAAATATTATTAAACTCTAAAATGAGTTTTAATTAAAATTAAAATTTGTTTATATTTGAAAACTCAAAAATATTACGGTGAAACAGATTAACAAACAGTACCCAGTCCTTTTGTGTTTCTATGTAGTTTGCAAGGGAAACTTGGGGGTTGAAAATAGGAATTTATTGAATGATAATGAGATTACAGAGATTATAGCAGAAATAACCAAAGACAGCTAGTAAGAGCACAGTAAAAGTACTGAGAACAAACTGAGTTGATCTCTGAAAACACACTTCTTCATACCCTGAACTTTACATTAGAGCTAGATCTCACAGAATACACAGCGCGCATTGCATCAGCCATCAGAGTAATGACGTCACCACACATCACGTAGTCTCTGGAAAATTTCACGGACCAGAAAGTGAGGGAAAAAAGCAAATAATGTTTTAGCTTTACTATGACAATAGTTTTGAATCAAGGACCCTCTGAAAGGGGTTCTAGGGGTTCTAGATGTTTGAACCCACCATTAAGGTGTTTTAAGAGTCACCTCTGAAAATTGCTATGCATTCTTTACATTCTGCAACCGTAAAGCAGGTATGGTAATTCCGTGTCAAGATCCTCCTCATCCAGGCCTTATTCTGTGTCTTCTTGTAAAGTTAATTCTGATATATTTTGCCAGGTCATATAAATAAGGGCAAGAGTAAGAAAGTGGAAGAATGCTGGACATTTTTATTACATGAAACAAATTGACTAATTTATTGATTTTTTTAATTAGAGAAGGAGTGTGTACTTTTGGTTCAATGCTAGGCTTTATTGGTGTAGAACCATGCCACTCATTGCTTGATCCAGTTTATGTCTGGCAAGAATGAAGATTTTGGTAAGAACATCGGAGCTTCTCTACCTCAGGTCTTGCTGCCCGTGCTTATCTGTGGGAAAATCTGGCTAGACTTCTCAGGGGAACAAAGTCTTGGCTTCCTCTCCGGTAGCAAGGAGTGAGCTCTTACCTCACCGTTTTCTAGTTAGAACACCACATGCGTCTCCAGTCCAGATACCAGAGCTCTCTCAAACACTGAATTTAACACGATAATTAACTAGGATCAAATTGCACATTAAACAACGTGATTTTATAGTAATGGGCTATTAAGATTGGAAAGTTGTTAAATTATGTAATGCCTTGTGCTATATTTCTTTGATTCTAAGATATACATTTTGGCACATTGTTTACAACACTGAAATGAGAATGTGTTTTTCAATTAAAGATCTCATCAGTTTAACTGAAGGCATTCCCCCCCCCCCCTATTTTTGTAAAATAGCATCAGGTTTTGTTTTAATTTTGAAATGTTATCTTCAAATTTTTTTCCATGTAATACAAATGCCTATTTCGTGACAAAAATTACAATATATTTTAATTCTTTCATGGTTTCTATATTTTTCTTTCATAGAGAAATAGCAGACTCTAGCAGTAAATTTCTATATATTGTATACATTTTCTGAAATATGCATTTCCACATCAGGTGCTTCATATCAAACAGAAAAATTAACATTAAATTCTTCTAGTGTAAGTTGTTCAAAAAGTTTGCTTCCGTTTTTAAAAAATCTACTTTGCTTATGTTTTAAATTTGATATTTACTATTTAATTCTGTTCATGACAGGTTTATTTTAGGACAGTGGAACTTATAGAAGAGCCCATAAAAGGGTCTCCTGGTTTAAGTTTCTACTTCAAAATTAATGGATTTCCTATATTTATGAAAGGCTCAAACTGGATCCCAGCAGATTCGTTCCAGGATCGAGTAACTTCTGACTTGTAAGTTACTGTTTTTCTTTTATTGTTCCTCTTTTTATCAACAATCTCATGAAGCTTAAGAGTTACTCATTTTTTATTTTCTTTAGTCCCAGGGGAAAAGACTGAGAGGTAGCATAGAATTCTAGGATGATGGAAACTTTAGAATGGACACCATGTTTAAATCATATTTATTCCATTTTCCTGAGCTACAGTCTTTTTCTTCTAGAATATATAAACTGATTTTTTTTTTCAGTTGAAACATAACTGACTGTACATATATGTGGGGTACTGTGTTGAATGTCAATACCTGTGTGCAGTATGTGATACTCAAATCGGGGAAATTAGTATATTCGACATTACACAATGTCATCATTTTTGTGTTCCTTTACCAGTTTCTCACTAACCACCTCCTCCCTCCTCCTTTCCCACCTCTGGTAACCTCAGTTCTGTTCTCTCCTTTTGAAAGTTCAATGTATTACTGTGATTGTTGCTTCTTTCTTTCCTTCTTTCTTTCTTTTCCTTCCTTCCTTCCTTCCTTCCTTCTTCCTTTTTTTTTCTTAATTTTATTTGTTTATTTTTTATTTAGCCCCCACTTATGAGTGAGGACATGTGTTTTCTCTTTCTGTGCCTGGCTTATTTCACTTAACATAATTTTCTCTAAGTTCATCCATGTTGCTCCAAATGGCAGAATTTCATTGTTTTTTATGGCAGAATAGTATTACATTGTGCATATATACCATATTTTCCTTATCCAATCATCCGTTGATGGACATTTAGGTTGGATCCTACTTTTGGCTATTGTAAATAGAGCTGTGATGATTTCTATTCTTTGGGTATACACCTACCAGTGGGATTGATGGATTGTATGGTAGTTCTGTCTGTAGTTGTTTGAGGAGCCTCCATACTGTTTTCCATAATGGCTTCACTAATTTACAGTCCTACCAACAATGTAGGAGTGTTCCCCTTTCTCCACATTCTTGCCAGCATTTGTTATTCTCTGTCTTTTTGATAATACCCAGTCTAAGTGGGGTGAGATATCTCAGTGTGGTTTTGATTTGCATTTCCCTGATGCTGAGTGATGTTGAGCATTTTTTCACATGTCCATTGGCCATTTGTATATCTCCCTTTGGGAAATGCCTATTCAGCTCCTTTGCCCATTTTTAAGTTGGGTCACTTGTTTTTTTACTAAGTGAGTTCCTTGTATATTCTGGGTATTAATCCCTTGTCAGATGCATGGTTTGCAAATATTTTCTTCCATTCTGTAGGTTGTCTTTTCTCTCTTTGTTAATTGTTTCTTTTACTGTTGCAGAGGCTTTTTAGTTTGATATAATCCCATTTGTTTACTTTTTCTTATGTTGCCTGAGTTTTTGGGGTCTTATTCATAAAGTCTTTGCCAAGTCCTACTTCTGGAAGTGTTTCCCCTATGTTTTCTTTTAGAAGTTTTATAGTTTCATGTATTATATTTAAGTCTTTAATCCATTTTGAATTGACATTGCTATATGGTGAGAGGTATGGGTCTAGTTTCATTCTTCTATTGATGGATGTCCAGTTTTCCCAGCACCATTTATTGAAGAGGCAGTCTTTCCCCACTGTATGTTCTTGGAGCCTTTGTCAAGGATCAGTTGGCTGTAAGTACGTGGGCTAATTACTGTGTTCTTTATTCTGTTTATGCCAGTACCATGCTGTTTTGGTTAGCATAGCTTTGTAGTATAATTTGAAGTCAGGTAGTATTATGCCTCCAGCTTTATTTTTTTTTTTCTTGCTCAGGATAGCTTTGGCTGTTTGGGGGCTTTTGTTGGTCCATAAGAATGTTAGAGTTGTATGTGATATTCTGTTCCTTTGGTTGGTTTGAGTGTCTGTTTTTATGCCAGTACTATGCTGTTTTGGTTACTATAGCTTTGTAGTATCATTTGAAGTCAGGTAGTGTAATGCCTCTGGCTTTATTATTTTTGCTCAAGACTGCTTTGGCTACTCAGGGTCCTTTGTCATTCCATATGACTGTTAGGGTTGTTTTTTCTGTTTCTGTGAAGAATGTCATTGGGATTTTGATGGGGATTTCATAGAATCTGTAGATCACTTTGGGTAGTATGGACATTTTTGTAGTGTTAATTCTCCCAATCCAAGAGCGTGCTATGTCTTTCAATCTTTTTGTGACCTCTTTAATTTCTTTCAACAGTGATTTTAGTTCTCATTGTAGAGAATTTTCACCTCTTAAACTGATTCCCAGATATTTTATATTTTTGGTGACTATTGTAAATGGGCTTACTTTCTTGATTTCTTTTTCTGCTAGTTTATTATTGGAGTATAAAAACACTACTGAATTTTGCATGTTAATTTTGTATCTTGCAACTGTACTGAAATTGTTTATCAGCTCAAAGAATTTTTTGGTAGAGTCTTTAGGTTTTTCTATACATAGGATCATGTCATCGGTAAACAGGGACAGCTTGACTTCCTCTTTTCCAATCTAGATGCCCTTTATTTCTTTCTCTCGCCCGATTGCTCTATCTAGCATTTCCAATACTGTGTTAAATAGGAGTGGTCAGAGCATCCTTTTCTTGTTCCTGTTCTTAAGCTTTCAACGTTTCCCCGTTCAGGATGATATTGGCAGTGGGTTTGTCATTTATGGCTTTTATGGTGTTGAGGTATTTTCCTTCTATACTTAATTTTTTTTTTCCCTTTTTTTTTTTTTTTGTCTTTTTTCATGACCGGCAACGGATCGCAACCCTCAGTGTCACCCCCGTACCGGACCGGGACCGGCAATGGGATCGCAACCCTCGGTGTTGCTCCCGCACCTCGCTCAGCCAGTGAGTGGCCGGTCTGTATGTGGGATCCGAACCCTCGGCGGGAGCGCCGCCACGCTTCCCAAGCAGCGCACTGTAGCAGTGCGCCACCAGGCCGGCCCCTTCTATACTTAATTTGATGAGAGTTTGTATCATGAAAGATTGCTGAATTTTGTCAAATGCTTTTTCTGTGTCTATTGAGATAATCATATGGTTTTTGTCCTTGATTTTGTTGAGGTGGTGTATCACCTTTATTGACTTGTGTATGTTGAACCATCCTTCACTCCTGGCGTGAATCTCACTTGATCGTGGTGTATAATTTTCTTGATGTGTTGCTGTATTCTGTTTGCTGATGTTTTGTTGAGGATCTTTGTGCCTGTGTTCATCAAAGATATTAAGATATTGGCCCATAGTTTTCTTGTTCTGTTTTATATTTGCTTTTTTTTTTTTAACTTCTTTTCTTTGTCTGGTTTTGATATTAGGGTGATATTTACCTCATAGAATGAATTTGGGAGAATGGCCTGTGTTTCCATTTTTTGGAATAGTTTGAAGAGAATTGCTATTAATTCCCCTTTAAATGGTTGGTAGAATTTAGCAGTAAAGCCATCTGGTCCTGGGCTTTTCTTTGTTGGGAGACTTCTGATTACTGCTTCAATCTCACTGCTTGTTATTGGTCTTTCAGGTTTTCTATGTCTTCTTGGTTCAGTCTTGGTAGTTTGTATGTGTCCACAAATTTATCCATTTCCTCCAGGTTTTCAAACTTGTTGGCATATAGTTGTTTATAATAGTCTCCAATGATTCTTCATATATCTGTGGTATCAGTTGTAATGTCTCCTTTTTCATTTATGATTTTTGTTATTTGGGTCTTCTTTTTTATTTAGCCTAGCTAATGTTTTGTCTATTTTGTTTATCTTCTCAAAAAACCAACTTTTTGGGCCGGCCTGGTGGCGCACTCAGTAGAGTGCGGCGCTTGGGAGCGCGGCAGTGCTCCCGCTGAGGGTTCGGATCCCATATAGAGACCGGTCCGCTCACTGGATGAGCGCGGTGCGGGCGCAACACTGAGGGTTGTGATCCCGTTACCAGTCACGAAAAAAGACAAAAAGGAAAAAAAAAAACCAACTTTTTGTTTTATTGATCTTTTGTATCATTTTTGGGTCTCTATTTCCTTAGTTCTGCTCTGATCTTAATTATTTCTTTCTGTCTACTAATTTTGGGATTGGATTATTCTTGTTTTTCTAGTTCTTTGAGATGTAGTGTTAGGTTGTTTATTTGAAATCTTTCTATTCTTCTGATGTAACCATTTATTGCAGTAAACTTCCCTCTTAGTACTGCTTTTGCTGTATCCCATGGGTTTTGGTATGATGTGTCTTTATTTTCATTAGCTTCAAGAAATGTTTTGATTTCCTGTTTAATTTCTTCTTGGACCCATTGTTCATATAGGAGCATGTTGTTTAATTTCCATGTATTTGTATAGTTTCCAAAGTTTCACTTGTTATTGATTTTTAGTTTTGATCTATTGTGGTCTGAAGAGATACTTGAAATGATTGCAGTGTTTTAAAACTTGTTGAGACTTGATTTATGGCCTAACATGTGGTCTATCCTGGAGAATGTTCCATGTGCTGATGAGAAGAATGTATATTCTGCAGTTCTTTGATGATAAGTTCTATAGATATATGCCAAGTCCACTAGGTCTATTGTAGTTTAAATACTGTGTTTCTGCTGATTTGTTGCTTAGATGATCTATCCAACGTTGAGATCTCTTCAAGTCCTCAACTGTTATCATATTGGTTCTACTCTCTTTCTTTAGGCCTAATAGTGTTTGCTTTATGTATCTTGGTGCTCTGGTGTTTGGTGCTTATATTTTTACGATTGTTATATCTTCTGGCTGGATAGATTCCTTTATCATTATATAATGGCTTTCTTTGTCTCTTTTTATGGTTTTTGATTTAAAATCTATTTTATTTAATGTAAGAATAGCCAATCCTGCTCATTTTTGGTTTCCATTTGTGTGATATATCTTTTTCCATCTCTTCCCTTTTAGTCTGTGTGTGTCTTTACAGGTGAGGTGAATCTCTTGTAAATAGTATATAGTTGGGTCTATTTTTTTTAATCCAGTCAATCAGTCTGTCTTTTGAGTGGGGGACTTAATCCATTTCCATTTAGGGTTGTTATTGAAAGGTATTGTCTCACTCCTGACATTTAATTGCTTTTCTTATGGTCGATTTATGTATATTTTGTTCC